AAAAAAAATAACCCTTGTGTGCGACGAACAGCGGCGGGCGCCGGATGCCATGTAAGTCCACCGGAAACACGATCAGACGCCTGCCCTTGCCCCGCGGCTTCCGGAAACTAGTACCTCGGAGGTACTAGTTTTTTACTCCGCATCTTCGGCGTGAAGCCTCGGGTTAGCCACGGGAGCTCTACGCTTCCCAGATGTTGCAGTGTGATCGCGCCCGGAAAATCCGCCTACCCTCCGTATCGTCAGCGCGGCAAATGCTCCGTGTGTCCGCAGCCTGAATTGTTTTTTACAATATAATCTTTCTGCATTTGTTTGTAATTCATTCACGGAGTGTCTTCAATTGGGTACAATGCCCTAGAGACCACCTCCCAAAGCTGCCATTTTCTCCAAGTGAACTGATCTATGTTGCCTGGAGATAGTTGTAATACCAAAGGGTTTCCAGCCACCACCTGGAGGTTGTATCAATATAAAGACCCCTCCCCTCTACTAGCCCCACCCCCCTCAGGCTCCTCCCCCAACCTGGAGCTAGCAACCCTAGCCTCATGGCATTTATTTATTTATTCCATTCATACCCCGCCCTCCCTGCCGAGGCAGGTTCAGGGCAGCTTACATAAAATTCCATATAAATACAATTAAAACCAATCATAAATAACATAAACGTAAAAGGACATGTGCAGAGTGCAACTATTGTGCCACAAAATCTGCCTTTGAAGGAGTGGTGGCCCTATTTATTTATTTGCCACACTGATCTCCTGTCTTTCGGCCTAGTTAGAGCCACCAAGGCAGCTGAGGGCCACCAAGGAGCCAGATCAGGTGGCAGACTTTAGGTGCCATTACATGTGGAGCTGCGGTGGCTCAAGTGGTTAAGACGCTGAACTGCAGGCTGTGGAAGGTCAGTAGTTCAGCAGTTCAAGACCCGGGTGCCGCATGACGGAGTGAGCTCCCGTCTCTAGTTCCAGCTCCTGCCAACCTAGCAGTTCGAAAGCAAGACATTGCAAGTAGATAGATAGGTACCACTTCGGTGGGAAGGTAACAGCGTTCCGTGTGCCTTGGTGTTTAGTCATGCCGGCCACATGACAATGGAAATGTCTTCGGACAGCGCTGGCTCTTTGGCTTTGAAACGGAGATGAGCACCGCAACCCTAGAGTCGGATTCGACTGGCTTTCAAGCAAGGGAACCTTTACCTTTTACATGTGGAGGTAGAGGGGCAGAGGACCACAGGACACAATCCAAAGGGAAGCTCTCCTTCCCTGGGGGGCACTCTTATCGGCCTCTTGCACGGCTGCTGTTCATGTCAATGGAACTTGTGCAAGAGAGCTTCCCATGGGACTGCAATGCCTTGGGCAGCTCTGTGGCCCAGGTGACCTGAGCCCTGCCTCCTTTCCCCTTTCTGGGTGTCCTGGGAAGGGAGAGTCATTTCTTCTCACAGCATGATTTGCGGGATTTTTTATAGGAACGGTCCTACATCCCAGAAGACCAGCGGAATTCCAACAAGAACTCCCAGTCGGCCGTCTGCTACTCTGAAAACATCCCAGCACCCACGGGGAAGGACGATGCCCAGCAAAAGTCGGTAGGTTGTCACATGGAAGAGCAACATTGGCCCCGGTCACATGGGAGGTTTTGGCCCGGAAGAGGGACGGATCGGGGGCGCAGCAAACGGGAGCAATCCCACCGCAACATCTGGGAACTGGCGCGCACCCGTTTCCCAATCCGTCCCTTCAGAACGAAAATGCGGTGCAAAAAAGAACCTACTAACTGGTAGGACTTACCTGAAGCACCGCAGCAAGCGCGGCCGTGAGATTACCGGCGCGCTCGTCTGCAGGAGCAATCGAGGCTCCCGGCCGAACTGCGCACGCGCACACCTGCGCAGTTCGGCTGCCTCGCTCTCCTTTCAGTGGCTTCCCCCAGCATCTGATAGGAACTGCGCGGCGGCTCAGGGGATCTGTGTGATCCCGCCGCCGCATGTCTCTTTTGGTGCGGCTTTGAAAAGCCGCACTTTGGCCGTACTCCCCCCCCCCATGTGGCAGGGGCCATTGATTTCCAAGATGTGACACCTTTGCGGTAGGAAGCCACTGAAGGATTCCGTGCACAGAAGACTAGAAGGCCCAGCAGCATTTGCTTCCGCCACCCCCCATCCCCACAGTGAAAACAAGCTTCTCAGTCTCCAGGCACATTATCGCTCCCCCATTTTCTCTCCGCCCCCCCCATCCAGGCATGTGGGTTGTCACAACCACTAGCTTGCTGTCTGTTCCCTAAGTCCATTTTGTAGCTGTTAGAGCCCACTGAAGCCACTAACTCTAAAGGTGTCCCTTCTCTTTAGCAACGAATCTGGGTTTGCTCTGGGTATGAAGCATGATGTTTGCTTGGGTCTGGCTTTATGCATTAAGCAGATAGGAGGGCTGGCATTCCACCTTTTAACCAGTCTGCTGATGCCCCAAAGAGGTACCGGCTGCAATCCCCTCCCGAAGTGCTAGAGAGGGGTAATGCCAATGGCTGAGCACAGGCTTTGCATGCAGGAGGTGCCAGGCCCTGGGAAGGGCCTCTGCCCAAACCTAGAGAAACCACCGCCAGTCGTAGTAGATTAGGGGTCCCCAACAGGGTGCCTGGCAGCTGCCGACACCTTTTCTGCCGACACCTTTTTGGGCACCCAACAAATGTTTTTAGGAAATGGGTGGGGCCAGGTAGGGCTTTTGCCCAGCAAGGCTTCTGATTGGCTAACGGAGATTTGATTGGCTGTGCAGAATTTTTAAAGCTGTTGCCTTGGCTGCAGCTGCCACCACAATGCAAGGATTCACAGTGTGTTACTGAAGTTAAGCTGTGACCAGTGTTTCCTCTAAGCTGAGGTAGTGCGAGCTAGCTCACAGTTTTTTAGCCTCCTCCAGTTAGGGTTGCCAAGTCCATTTTAGCCCCCAGCGGGGGACCTTGGGGGGCATTTCTGGAGGGGGTGGAGCATCCCTGATGTGATGACAACACGTTGGGGACGTCTGCCCCCCCGCCCACTCACCTGATGGGCACACGGGGAAATGCCAGCTCCCTGCACTTAAAGGGGGGTTGGCAACCCTAACTCCAGCTCACACATTTTCTGTCTTAGCTCAGGAAGGAGGGCTCCAGAGCAAACTAATTTATGCAGGAGCCAAATCGCTCACTCACAACTTTAATGCCACTGGCTCTCAAAGTAGAATTTTTGCTCACAAGACTCCACGGCTTAGAGGGAGCATTGGCTGTGACAATCATTTTGTGGCTGACTGTGCCTCCTGCAGCAGCCGTTTTGTGGCAGCCATTTGGCTGCTGCACCCACCGCGCCGTGTCAGAACTCTAAATGTGCCCCCAGGCTCAAAAAGGTGAGAGACCCCTGCAGTAGATGTTGCCAGGCTAGCTGGACCAGTTCTGACTCCGGGCAAGGCAACTTTGTGCATTTCAACATAAACAAAACGTGGCCGTTTCTTTATACGCCACATCACACAATAATACACACTTGTGAGTTTGGGGAAACTCCTTGTTTCACCAAAGCGCAGGTCTTGTGATCTCCTTTTGAGTACATTTGCACACAGCCTAAAGTCAGTAAATGGAAAACTCCATTTGGAGTTCATTATCCAGGCTCAGTCAGAAAGCTCTTGGACAAAGTGTGTTTCTGCTGTACCCACAAGGGGCCAATTGATGAAGTCACCTAATGAAAGATGCTGTGGGCTGGATGGAATGTTAGTGTGCACCTGGTCCCTCCCCCCATCCAAAGAGCCCAGGGTTGGTAACAATGCCCTAATTATGACACCCTATCTCAGATTACTAAGCAATAGTCGGAACACAATTGCCCAGCTCTAATTCCAGAAAATGCACATGTTCAGGCTTTGGCAAATCTCTGTGGAAAATGAATTTCGGAGTTCTGGGACCACGAATGACAACACATCTATTTATTTATTTATTTTATTTATAGCTGATATATATAATTATGTTTTCGAGTGGCAACGTTCGATGCGCTCCCAAATCAATTGGCTGACTGAACTGCCACTCAGTAGCTGTCCTGTTTTCCATTGGCTGCGTTGCCTGAGTCCTGCCCACACACACGCCGCCCAGCCTCTCGGCCTCAGTGTGCTGGGAAGTGACAGGTGGGCCGGACACTCCGGCGAGCGAATGGTCATGAGGCCGAGCCCTCTCATGGCAGCACCGCAGCTGTCGTAGTCGGCTGTGCCCAGGTGCAGGTCACCATGTGGCCTGTGAGCTGATGCTGCCAGGACAGAGGTACCCGGCCGGGAAGGCACTGGCGAGGCGTTCTGCTGGCCCTCAGCCCCGCGGTCTGGGAAGGGGGGAGAAAGCAGATTGACATCATAGCCTTCTCAGGGTGAAGGCAGCCACAGTTGGCGGAGCCGGGTGGGTGGCTGGCTGGGAAGGCACTGGTGGGGCGTTCCGCTGCCCTCGGACCTGGGGTCTGGGGAGCGGGGCAAAAGCACATTGCCATCATGCCCTTCTTGGGGTGGAGGTGGGTGCTGCCGGCGAAGCCGGGGGGGCGGGGGACTGGGAAGGCACTCAGCCCCGGAGTCTGGGGAGGGGGGAGAAGGCGGAACGCCATCATATCCTTCTAGAGCTCGCTGTATTGCGTCTACAACGGCTTTGCGGCTAGTAGCTGATATATTTAAGAATATTCTCTTGGAGGTGAAGGTGATTACAGCTCTTCAATTTCTCTCTTTGTTTTGTTCTTCACAGGACATGGAACTGCTCAGGTTTTCACTCACCCTCATTCAGTCATGGCTCACTCCAGTGCGGTTCTTAAGCAGGGTGTTCATCACTAACAATCTTGTCTTCGGGACTTCAGACAGAGTCTATGAAAAACTCCAAGACTTGGAAGAAGGTATTCGGGTCCTCATGCAGGTAAGTAAAGCAGTCATCCCACCTCTAAAATATCAAATGAAAAGGTACCAAAACAAACAAAAAGAAAGCAACTGAAAAGCATTATGAGGTCATTTCTGTAATGAAAGAAAGTGTAAGAGGCAGTAGCCTTTGAACTTTAGACAAATACAAGCAGGGGACCTAGAAAGACTTGTGGGGG